TAAGTAATTTACACGATTGAAGAGTGGTAACTTTAGATCAGAGGGCAAGGATTTAGTTTGACTTGTCTTTACCTCGTGTAGGGTACAGAAATACCCCATAGAGAGGGAGATCTATGTTCTTTCACTCATGGTTCGCAAAGATACACGAGTGATTGCTTGTTTGGGGAGGCAGAGCTTAATGATCAAAATAAATGAAACATTTAAGCTCCATATCTCAATGATTCAATTATTTCCGTTATAAAAATGGAAAGGATTTTAATGAAATCTACACTCAACAGGACGTTTTGCAAGACAATAATTCAATTTCTCAGATCATAAGTTTTTTACGCTTTTGATTTGAAGACTGGCCAAGATTTATTTACCCCTTCAACCGGCAAACATTCAACACTTCGGCTATCTTGAAAGAAGTTTATTGAAGCCTTTTATTTTCCATAACATAATTCGACTTTTAACCTAGTAATTCTGACCATCTGTATGTTTAGATATCAAGGCGAAAACATTCCTGTTTATGGGGAGCTTCAACGATTAAAGTTTATTTATCTGACTTTCAAGACAAAATTTGTACGTAGTGTATCTGTAACCATGCCATATAGTTATTAGCAGCTTTGTTATTCCTGAATTGCTTTTGTAAAAATAGGACCTACAATTATTGAAATGGTTACTCATCAGAGCGTAAGAAATCCGATATAATTCTCGGAAAATCTTGTCAGGAAAGGTCGCTTACAAGAGAGCAATGTGGTTCTGCTCTCGTCACAGCCTCGTTTATTAATTTTTTTTTAAATAGACTACAGTCAGTCATTGGAAGGGCATTGGTCAGTTTGCCAATAGATTTGAATGAAGCTGCCCACAAAAAAAATATTTATACAAAAGAAACGGAAACTGAAAAATCCTTTCTTGATCAGCTTCTCTCTGTTGACATGACATCTACTGAGATTCCTTACTAACCGCATATTGATTCTGTTAATCGGCTTAACTTTTTAAATCTCGGCGTGACTTGGACTTCACTGAAGCCAATTTGTCTGAACTAACAATCAAATATTGTGGAAATTCTTAACAAAATGATTCTTCAAACTCCCTCAAGATTTGAAAGCCTATAAAATTCCGTAAGATCCGTCCTCCGTTTTCCCTGGCATGGGCACAGTCTTCATCAGGGCAAGTAACACCGCCTGCAATCAACGCCACAGATTAAAGATTTTCGTTTGCGAAAGTGTGTATCCATGTTGAGTACGGCTCTCGCCAAAAGTTTTTCTGTTCCCCTCTTTCCTAGTTTGTGGATCCCAACTGCTACCAGGTAAAAGGGTTGCGAGAGTTCCACTTTCCGTGCAATTTTCCTAATTCTGCTCGAAAGCAGTCTGAAGCGGGGAAAGCGTTTTTTTATGAGAAGTCGGAAAAGGGAGTGAGTTTAAGACCGTAAATCCTATTACATTATCATTCTTGAATGTTTCCTAGAGTTTACCGTGGTGATAAGCGTATGATCTTTCATAGGACCATGCTGAAGCCGGCTTTATCTTCTTTTCTTTTTTTTAACACAAAGAATGTTTTGAACTATATACATCCCATACCTGCCAACTTCAAGCTTGTTCAAGCTATGTGGTACTCGAAGAATTTACGTGGTCACGAGAAGTTATGTCATCCGACTAGGTATTAACTTCTGAAATATTTCAACAACTCTGGAAATATTCAGAGGAGCGGAAATATTGCCAAAGAATTCGAAGTTACCAGAAAGAACTCGTACATCGATTGTAATTTCATAGGTTTTAAGCTTAAACGTTGGAACCTCCTAAGCTAATGCTTGACAGATACTTTACATAAAGGTTCAACATAAAGGGAAAGATTATAAGGATGCATAGAAGGCTCCGATTATTATCTAGAGAGACCTAAACTTTAATTGGCAAAAGTGAAGCATATGATGACTCAAACATGAAGACATTTATTGATCTTTATCTATCTCATACTTGCCAACTTCAAGCTCGTTCACGCAGTGGCACTTTGGATGAGGTCATGAAGGAAGATCAAAGTCACGTGGGAAAAAGATCTTCCCTTTCTTTCATCGAAAAAACACTTCACTTCAAAGGCACATGTGGTATCTCTAAATAGATAATTAAATACATGAACAAAGTAATAGATTGACGATAGGCTAGCGCTCGAAACTCTGGCTTTAAAAAATCTTTATGGGGGCCTATTTAGACTGGCACCTCATTTTATAAAATCAACTTCGCAGCTTTGCGAATTGACAAGGAATTAGTTTTAAGCAGTTTCAAGAGATGTGGGAAACTCTTTTACATGCTAAAGAGTAACGTGAAAAATCACTGAAAAAGAGTGTATCCAAAAATAGGAACGATTGGTTCAAAGGCCAGATTGACCACTCAACAACTGTTTATCTAAGAAGTCTGCCTTCAGTTATGAGTTTGAGATGGAGAGATATTTAGACTGGCACCTCATTTTATAAAACCAACTTCGCAGCTTTGCGAATTGACAAGCAATTAGTTTTAAGCAGTTTCAAGAGCTGTGGGAAACTCTTTTTACATGCTAAAGAGTAACGTGAAAAATCATTGAAAAAGAGTGTATCCAAAAATAGGAACGATTGGTTCAAAGGCCAGATTGACCCCTCAACGACTGTTTATCTAAGAAGTCTGCCGTCAGTTATGAGTTTGAGATAGAACTGCTAAACCTATTGACCTCAGTTAAGATGCTGATACTTACATACTATGACATCTCGATTATATCTCGGTTGTGTACTCAAGATAGTGATCAGTTTGTCAAAAGCGTAAACTTAACTCCTGTGGAGTTCTCAGAGGAGATTTTCCTCAGATATTCGAAAATGTTGCCGGGAATTGCCTTCTTCATTCTAAATGAACTGAACTGTAACAAAAACATTTATTCGAAGATTGGGAAATAAACGACGCATTAAATCATTGGATCTTAAGTGATGCTAGCTCCACCTTCAACAACCCCCGACCTTAAATTTGATAACAGACAACGAAAAAATACTATAACACCTATCTAAATCTCAAACATATGGTGCATAAGACTGAATTGTCCCAATAGTTTGTGACACCAAATCCATACGTACCAGCCCAAGGCGATTTCGGTTAATTCTTCGAATTCTAGGAACACATCTGGCAGCAAAATATTTGATCACCAGTCAAAGAGTGTTAATAGATGAAGGTGTAGTCTGTGGTATATTCTAGAAGCTGTTGCACCAAATTGAAGTCCTCATTATCACATTCCATCTCTGACTTTTCCCAAAGTTTTTTTAGAGTTTAATGTCTTTCATCATAGAATACTAAACTATAATATATGTTGCCATCCTGGACAGAAACCGTAACAAAATCTTCGTTTGCATGTTCAACAACAAAAATTTGGCACTCTGAACAAAAAACGTTAAAACAAATATTCTTGAGTGAGTTCATATGTGAGTTATTTGGGTTGCTTCACTTATGGTGACCACTCAGTTTTTTTTTAGTTGGCTCCTTTTCCTATTGTTATTTTGTTTTGGTTTTTGCTTTCGGGAGGTACGCCTAATGGATTTCCCGCTCGCTAATCAGTCGTTGAGGAAAATCCTTGGCATATGTTTTTAATCTAATTTCTTTGCGTTTCACCTCAGCGCATCGGACGTGCAGTTATCTGAGATTTCCAAAGGATCGGCTTTATGCCTTTTGTCTCTTGGCAAAGATATCAATTGCAAAAGCATGCCCGCAAGGCCTTTTGAAACAACACGTTCAGGCTAGGTTACACACCCCCTTCACACCTCAATAAAACAATTTTACCCTCTTTGCATTTTTAAATTTTTTTTTTAACATTTCTAAGAACTAATATGAGATGAAATGGTCCAGCCCACATGATTTGCTTAGACGTTCTTCAACTTATTCGAGAGGAGAATAGTGAAAACTACAATATGTAGTACCGAAAGTAAAAGAAAAATCCCAAGGACATCAACCGCTGAGTCCTTATTTTGCATATGAATTCCTTCATCACAAAAGTCTGGATTTCATAGGTCTTGCATTGGATGCCAAGAAATTCTTTTATGCTTTTTTTCTTAGTCTTTATGTCACCCTGTCACCATCTCCTTTTTCTGACTGATTTTTGCCATACCTTTATTAATTAATGCTAGTGGTATCATTCCTGAAACTTAAGGTGATACTTTGATTGCCTTTAGAGCTTCGTCTTGATCTTGGAATGAATCATTAGAATGTCGAAAATATCAAAAGCAATGAACGTCTCCCTTAATATCTGAAAGGGGTAGTAGGGTTCGTGTTTGTACCAATGTGTACTATTTATTTCCCAAGGACTAGTGTAGGTTTTATTTATTTCAGCAACGTTCAAGCGAACGCTCGAAACGGCATGAAAACCTAGTGCTTTACTTGTCTCATTTTCAGGCCCTATAGCTAAGATAACTTGGCAATCTCGAATGAACAGGAACTCAGTTTTATTGAAGCAACCATTAGATCCTATCAGACACATCATGATAGCCGGTATATACCTCAACTAGTAACATGCCTACCCCTCTACATATCCCAAAACCTGAAAGAATAGTACTCTCCCGAGCGAGGAATTCGCGTATTTCGATGAAGGAGCTTCCTTTCCTAATTCATTTTTTAAAGAAATTTGCTTTCAGAATTACGTTTGATACCCAGATATCTACAAATAGATTGTGATTAACATGTAAACCATTTTTCTGCATTATCTGTCACAGAAAGATGTAATCCTAATGCGGACGTTGCCTTCTTGGTGGATTCCTCGGGAAGCATCTCCAGCACAAACTACAGAAAAGTGAAAACATTCGTGGCAACCCTTGCAGCAAGCTTCAACATTTCTCCGGGGGGATCGCGCGTGGCTGTTGTCCTCTACAGCACAGGGGCAACAACAGCAATCAAGTTTGATGACTTCACTAGCGCAGACTCGTTCGAAAGAGCTGTGCAACTCCTGAAACATGAGCGTGGATACACAAGGATAGATCTTGCTCTTCAAAGGGCCTATTACGACTTGTTCAGCAGAAGAGGCAGTGCTCGGTATGACGTACCAAGAATTGTCTTTCTCCTCACCGATGGAGAACAGACAAAAGACCCCCAAGCACTTTCTCTTGCGAGGATGGCTCGCCTTATCAAGGACCAACAAGTGCGAATCATTGCAATAGGAATTGGAAAAGAGGTCCAAACTCAAGAACTTATGACAATTGCAACTAACGAAAAGGACGTCATACAAGCTGACGTATTTGACGACTTGTTAGACAAAGTGCAACCTCTCACACAGAGCGCATGTGAAAGCTTTCTAGGTAACACCCTCTTCTGATTACTGAAAAAAATACCAAAAGTTTATGAGGTGACCTGTACAGACGAAAGAACCCCTCAAATAATCGTCCGTGAAACTTAACAATGCTGAAAGCTGTGTTTTCCGAGACTGAAGACACGGAGATAATGCGGCTTAGTCCCTAACATCCACTAATCTAAGCAAAACTTAACCCCACTATTAGTAGACTAAGTGTGGGTCAGATCGATAATCATAGGTACCTGAATTATCATAATATATCATTATGCCGAGGGCAGTACGTATTCCTTGCACTAAAAGGTACGCCGTTCAATAATTATAATAATGATAATAATAATAATAATAATAATAATAATGATAAAAAAAATAATGATAAATTTTATACCAACGTTCAAACTTTTTTCTTCTCAGCAGTTCCCATTCCAGAGGAAAATGACGATGGTAAGTAAGTAAAGTTTATGGATCATACCAAAATGAATGTTTCCGATCGAACTCATCGAGTAACATTAGTTAAGGAACTAGTAGGTAGTTCTCATATTTTCTTATCATATTCATCATATTCTTCTCTGACAGAATGCGAACCCGATGCCGACGTTGCTTTCCTGGTGGACGCATCAGGAAGCATTTCCTACAGAAACTTCAGAAGGGTGAAAGATTTTGTGGCCCAACTGGCCTTAAAATTCGACATTTCCCCTGGAGGATCGCGTGCAGCTGTTGTTGTATACAGAACAAGGGCTACCACAAAAATCAGGCTCTGAGATCATTCTGACTATCCGTCGTTTCGAAAAGCTGTGCAAGCGTTAAGACATGAACGAGGTTTCACCAGGATAGACCTTGCTCTTCAACAGGCTTATTTCGACGTGTTTGGCCCTCGAGGGAGACCCCGCTTTCTGGTGCCAAAAATCGCCTTCGTCCTAACAGACGGAGAGCAGTCGAAGGATAGGAAGATTCCGAGACAAGTTCCTCTTGATGTGGCTTCTGACCGCCTCAAAAAAAGAGCAGGAGTACGAATCATATCGATAGGAATTGGAAAAAACGTGGACAAGGAACAGCTTACGGTAATCGCCAGTAGCGAAAAGGATGTCGTTTTAGCAGACACATTCGATGGGTTGTTAAATAGAGTGGAACCGCTCTTTAAGACCGCGTGTAAAGGCAACGTAGGTTGGTTCATTTTTTAATTGCTACACTTAAAACATTCAACTAATCAAAAATGATTATACGATAGTGTCTTTTTTTTTCCGTGGATCTCCTCGAGAAGAGAAAATTTAATTATTAGAAATTTCAAAACGTTTGAAATATCTGAAAGACATGTATTTTTGACAGAGTAAGCAGGGCTCGTTTGAGTCGGTGTCAACAAAAGTTTAGAAAAACTGAAGGATGTAAAAAATCGGAATTTTATGTAAATAATAATAGAGTATGAAGTAGGATTGTGTTGTTTTTTTTTTGTTGTTGTTGTTGTTGTTTTTTTTCAATGAATTACTTGGCCCCATACATGATAGCTCTTATTTCAGAAGATCAAACTTTAGCAAGACAGTTTTTAAAGAAAGGCAAATTACAATTCGCATTGCAAGTGAAGCAAAAGGAAAACTCAAACGAAAACTAAAGTCTGATAAAGTCAGGTACAGTTTCAATTCAGATCAGCAGTTACCCTACAAGCATTATCTTTAGAGCAACTTAAGATCGTCTACCGCGACTGAGGATCACCGTTAGGAGAGTAATGACCTTTTTTTTGACGAAAAAAATCTAAAATTGTCCCATGAATTTCGTTTTCAAATCATATGACGATGATCTTTCCAATTGTTTTTGTAAAGTGAACAACTAACTCCTTTCAACGCTTTTTCAATGTTAGAGCTTCCCCGCTGCAAAACAGAGGTAGATATCGCTTTTATTGTGGACTCATCTGGAAGTATATCGAGTACCAGCTACCGGAGAGAGAAAGCCTTTATAACTGCAGTTGCTAAAAGCTTCGGAATATCTAAAGATAAGTCTCGAGCCGCCCTGGTGTTATTTAGCGACTCAGCGTCCACAAAGATACGATTTGACGACCATTCAACGACAGCCTCCTTCTCAGCAGCCGTGGAGCATCTTCCTCACGAGCGAGGCTTTACTCGCATCGACCAAGGTTTGGAGGTTGCCACGCGAGAGGTATTCCCAAATGCTCGAAAAGGTGTCTACCAGATTGCCATGGTGATAACAGATGGACAACAAACCCAAACTGCTGATACGAAAGATCTTAAGGAGGTGTCCGAACCGTTGCGAAAGGCCGGAGTGAGAGTGTTGGCGCTTGGGGTTGGTTCTGGAGTTGATGCCAAAGAGCTACGACTTATAGTCGAAAGGGATGAAGATGTTCTACTCGCCAAATCTTTTTCAGATCTGATCGACAGAGTTGGAGGATTGATCAAATCCACATGTAATCTTGCAAGTAAGAGCTTTTCATACATTAAAGATGTCAAATGCAGGTGAAAGAGTACTAAATGATACTGAGAAAGTGCAGCTTTCGATAAGAACGGGCTCAAACAGTTGTCGGAAATGGTACATTGATCAATCCGTAAAATTTCAGTCTCTGTAAATCAATTTCAAAATATCAAGAGCAAATATCTTGAAATGTTGATTGTGTGATATTCATCATCAGGCATTACATACCACAATTATTTTTCGTTCACAACACCTTTCAATGTGTCTGCAGCTTTTTTTGCAGAGCAACCTATTAGGTTTTGAGACGTCGCTTTCCAAAACTGTAAAGCTTTCAGTCATTCCCGTTTCATTTTGATACCGGCCAATGCGCCCGCTTTTCATACTCAGGTGCGAGGCTGATTTCGCAGTTTAACCTCCCCACCCTTAAAATCGCTTAAATATTGAAATCAAGATAAATTGGACTTCGAGAAATCGGTGTTTGATCATACAGCAGGTGTAAAATATGCCAAGTATAACAAGTATAATTATAATGGTTGACCAGGTTTCAATATTCTCTGAGCTCAATGAGTTGATGAAAAAAGTAACGTATGACATAATCAGTAATTTAATTTGCATATTTTTCCACCATTTCAAATAACCCATGGAAGACTAGCGATACTTTTCAAGAATTTAAAGAATTGTACTTTAAAGCACGTAATGCAAACTCGCCAAGTTAATATCCTCCACAATATCAGATAATGAGACGGCTGTAACACAGGACTTGTAGAGGCTCCCTCTTAGAAGAAAGAGCAAATTCTCAAATATTACTGATTTGTATTTCTATATATTCTCATCAAAGCGAAACTAGGTAAAAGAAGCTGGGGGACATATAGGTCTACTTTACTGACCAATCAGGTTTGAAACATGGTCTTCCTTACTCGCAAATATTTGCCCCTCACGCTAGTTTTGTCCTTTTTCAGTTCCAGAGCCATGCGACATTTCTGCAGATTTGACTTTTATATTTGGATCAGGAGGCATTGGAGAAGGCAACTTCCTCAGACTTAAGACCGTTTTAAAAACCATCGCGACGAGCTTCGGCATTTCATCAGAAAGGAGTCGTGCCTCCATAGTGACCTTTAGTGATTCGTCTGCCTCTGTACGGGCATCTTTTCAATCTTTCACATCCACGAAGGAATTCCAAGACGCCTTATCCTCCTTGAAATATGAAAAAACACGAGGTGATATCGATCTGGCGCTGAAACTTGCAGAGGACAAGGTGTTTCCAATGGCAAGAAAAAGGGTGGCAAAAATCGCAGTGGTTGTCATTGATGGTAAAGAGAATAATAATGATCAATGGCAAGATATTGTGTTGTCGTTGCAGAAGGCAGGTGTCCGCGTGTTACTTTTAGGGATTGGCACCGAGATAAAACGCGAATCATTAGGGCGGCTTGTTGAAAGAGACGATGATCTCATCATTGAAGAGTCATTTATAACTCTTCTTAAGGATTCTGTTCAAGTGGCAAAGACCGCGTGTTCCGCTGCCGGTTAGTACAGTTGATATTTTTCCATTTCTGGTATCTTCCCCCAAAATTTAACTTTCTGCACCTAATAAACGTAACCGTCCACGACACGCCACTCTTGGGATGTCTTAATTTTAGATGTGTATAATTAAGAATTGTGGTTCCTAAATATGGGCGAACGAGTGCATAATGAAATTATCAAAGATTTCATTAGCTTTTTTGAACACAGGTTTGACCTCTTTCTAGAGACATGTCCTCCAGTTTGATTTGAAAGTTACTTCAAAAAGAGCTCTGAGGCCTTGGTTTTTGAAGTAATAAAGACTGTCCGATTGGCTCTTGACAAGTGACAAGCATCAGTACAATTCATTCACCGTTCCTTCGCTAATCATCATGATTTACATTCCTGGTCCCCTTATTTTTGATGAAAATTCAATTTTTTTTCTTTTAGTTCCTCCACCATGTCAGTTTCCAGCGGATATCGTGTTTGTAATAGATTCCTCCAAGACATTTGATGAGAAGGAATTTTCCCAGCACAAAGCCTTCGTAAAGATCATGGCAAAAAGTTTCGGGAACAATACTCGTTCTGCAGTTGTAACCTATGGAGAAAGATCTTCCTTAAAATTAAACTTCGATGACTCTTTGAACATTACTTACTTTTTAAACGTTGTTCAAAGCATTGAGAAAGACAACGATGTCAAAGATAAGCGCATAGACAAGGCTATCAATCTGGCCACAACTGACTTATTGCCAAAAGCACGACCTATTGCAGCAAAGTTGGCAGTGGTTGTCACTGATGGAAGTCAAACCAGTGGACCAAATGCCTTAGAACTCCAGCAAGCTTTCGATGCTTCCGCTAAGGCAGGTGTTCGTGCGGTTGTTCTAGGGGTTGGCGAGGCCTTGAACATGGAAGAGTGGCGCAGTCTTGTTCCACGTAAAGAAGACTTCCTTCAAATTGAGAATTCTCAAGATTTGACTTTGAAGATACATAACATAGCAACGCAAGTTTGCGCAGCAGCAGGTAACAAAATCTGTCAAATATACCATTTGCCTTTTCGAGAGGTAAATGCTTCCCTTCTAAAACAAAATGACGACGGAGTGTCCAAGACCATGACCATTTTATTTTTGGCGTATTTATTTGGCTTATCGTGTGTACAAACCAATTTCGATAGAAGAAAAATTTCAGAGTCAGGCGTTGAAAATAGTAAATGCTAAAAGTTAGGTATTGTGCAGAGTCCCACTTTGGTTCGTAAGTCGATGATGTTCAGCAATGTGATTGTTGACATCACCTTTTTTACAGTGAATTGGTGTGAATTCAGGGGTGACATGCGAAAGTGTAGTGCGATCGTCCGGGTGAGTGTAGTCCTGAGAAGGACTGTTGTCGGTGGTGGTGTCTGGCGTTTCGATAACCTGTGCGGAAGTCATCATCAGAATCAAGTGGATAGTTGTTGTCAGTAGAATGTTCCTAGACCAGGTAGCCGGTGCCGGTAGTAGTTGACACCTGTAGAGGGGAGTCTGTTCTAAGTTAGTAAACCAGCTTCATAGTCAGTCGATGAAAGTAGTTGGTGCTGTAGGTTATGCATTGCGCAGAGTCCCAGTCAATAGTGTGGTTCGTAAGTCGTTGATGTTCAGCAATGTGATTGTTGTCATCACCTTTCCTCGTCGCCCGTTTGTGTTCAGTCAGTCTTGTTGCGAGGTTTCTGCCAGTCTCTCCAATGTAGGAGGCTTGGCAGTCGGAGCAATTTATCTTATAAATCGCTCCCTGCCTGTTCCTCGGTTCGTCCTTGTCTTTAACGCTGGTTAGTAACTGACGCAGTGTAGTGATGGGTTTGTGGGCGACGCGGGTAGTGTAGTGAAGGGTTGTAAGATGCACAGAATGCCAAGCCTCCTCCGTCCGATATATTGGCACATCCAGACTGGAAAACTGGTTTAATAAATTAGCTCAGGTAGTCGAAATGTCTTTCAGTATTACCGACAACAGCCCTTCTCAGGACTACACTCACCCAGACGATCAGACTACACTATAACATGCTGTTCTCTTGTTCAAACAATTTACTGTAGAATAACATTATTCGTCATCTGAGAGACTTAAATGTGATTCTCAGGGTGACATACAGGTAATGGTATGAAAAAAGAAAAACATATAAAAAATATTTCCAGGCAACAAATGCTCAAATCTTTCTAGTTGGAATTTTGAAATAACTGATCTGATCTCAAACTACCATCATTTATGTTATGCTACTTGTCAACCAAATTCTATAGTTTCCCACTGAGCCTCTGTTCAGCAACATGATGCAGGATATTCTTTAACAGAACTTTAACCCAGAGAAGTCCTTCAGAAGAAGGTGAATTCAAATACATCTCAGTGAAGAAAGTTATGCTATTGTTAACATAATTAAGCAGCCGTAGCTTTTGTTTTAATCGAAGTATTTGTATTTAATACACAGAGCCAATCGAGGAACCAACCTGCGGCTACGCGACGGATATCATCTTTCTTATGGATTCTTCGGACAAAGTCGGAATGGAAAATTTCGACAAACAAAAATCGCTTGTTATATCCATCGCAAAGAGTTTTGGCATCTCTTATAACACCAGTCGTGCGGCTGTAATACGGTACAGCGACTCCGCATCTACTTATCTCCAATTCAAAGATTCATCAAGTACCAATGACTTTGAAAGAGCCATTCATAGGATGTCTCTTCAAAATGGTCCGCCAAGACTGGGCAAAGCGTTTGATGTCGCCCTTACAGACGTACTTCCTCAAGCTAGGAGAGGAATACCTAAAATAGCAATTGTAGTGACAAACGGTCAGCAAAATTCTGGCGACGATGTGAACGCAGCTTCTGAGAGGTTGAGGAGGGCTGGGGTCAAGGTGTTCGCCCTAGGCGTTGGTACAGAAATTGACCTTGAAGAGCTAAAGCTCATGGTAGAAGATGAGGAAGAGCACATTGTGTCAGCTGAAACTTATGACCAATTAGTTTTGAACAAGAAAAACATCAGTGAAAAGATATGCGAGCAAGCAGGTTAGTACGATTTCCCAAATATCCTTGAAAGGCAATTAACTCTCCCAGAGAAAGCAGAAGATCAACACAACTCCTGAGAAGTTTTAAATTCATTCATGACCCACTGCTTTGACTTTTCTCTCAAGATGTCCCTCAACAAGCAATGAATTACTTTTGTAGATTTTATACAAAAAATATTACAGAAAAAGAGTGCGAAAAATTAAAATTCATGTGAAGATGTTCTGAAAAAAAATGTGATGAACTATTGAAATTTTACAAAACCATTCAGGGTGCTTATGTTTCGAACATTATAGATGATTAACTAAATCTCCTCATTCTAAATTAAGTAAGGAAAAAGCTAAAATCTAACATTATTAAATGTGCTAACTTAAGATTTTTATATTTGCCAGACAAATATTTCTGATCTTTTGTTGCTCAATACTAGGATACATTATCTCTCTTTGTTAAACAAGTTATCAAGTACCAATAACTTTGAAAGAATCAGTGTGTAACTTTTGTGTGTGTTTCCACAATATGAGAGCCAGTATACCATTTCGCAGTCCATTAAAAATCATTCTTGGACATGAAAAACAGTACTTCTTCGAATAACCACCCTCTCTGGAATTAGTGCCTGCCCCAAATAGTCACCCACCCCTTTGCCCATAATATGCTATCATCTTAAGTAGGGCTCCTCCATCTCATCAGGACCACTCCCCCCCCGGTAATTTTAAGTAACCTGGTGCTTGTGTTTATTCTCCAAAAAAATATTTTCTTTCTCGTCTTTTATTTATGCTGTACCCCCAAATACTTTCAGGCTTTTCATCAAATGACCCAGAATTTTTAAGACTTCTTTTTCAATTTTTTTCAATACCATCAATGTTGTAATGTTGTAATGTTGTAACACAATCACTCACCCCAATTCCTTAGGGACACCACGTTAAGCCTCGTATCCCATCTTATTTAAAAGGATTTTGGCATACATATAAATAACCTAAACATAATGGCTAAGTAGGAGTTCCACGTCTTGCAGTCTCCACTACATTTTGCATCTTTGCAATGTTTACGATTTTTCATCGTAGCTTTTACCTGATCATTTCAAACCAATTAACACACGCTACCAATTAACTTTAATTAACATAACACAGATGAAGTTCAATTAAAAATTGTTTTAATACCTCCATTTGTCACGCAGAAAACTCCAAACATTATCCTCATTCCGCCAAGTTAGCGCTTCACAAATGTTTATAATTTCTCCTCAGTCGATGTAATGCTGTATATACCAATGAATACTCTCTCACAATTTAAACTCTTCGCAATTTCGCATAACATCACACAAATTTTCATCAATACACCAGCGTTCATGATAAAAAAGCGTCAAATACACTCAATGCAGATGGGATTTTAACGCCAGATAAAATTTACGTCAAACGCCTGCGCAAACATAACGCACACCAAAATTACTGACGGCTCAGGTCTTCTTCGAAAAGAGCAGCGTTCAGGTTCTCCTGTTTACCTCAAGAAAAGGTAAAATTACTTTTCTCAGGTTCGTATGAGGCCTTTACAAAGTGTCCTAGAGCATCATCAAGCTCGCTATTGGACTCAATTCCTGAACAAATGCAATGAAACGCATTTGTTCCCTTACGGAGTTACTTTACGAAGCTAGTTCCGAAGGAGAGCTTTGTAAAGTGTTTCTAGAGTCTCCAGGACATAAAAAAAACCATCATTTAAAAACTACGGCTACCTAATTGTAACTTCACCAAAAAATGTCGAAAAAGAACCTAAGCCCTGGAGACTTAAAAAAAAGTAGTTGATATGAGAACCTGTAAGAGGTCTGCGCCTCTCAATGGAGGTATACATCCGGGAACTTCTCGTTTCATGTTTTGAATGGCCACAAGCGATCTGAATTCGCCTTTCTTTCTCCTTAGCACCGCCGCCGTGTAGCACT